GCAGCAGTGGTAGTAGTAGTTTAGTCGCAGTCGTAGTAGTAGTACTAATTACTACTAATAATAGAAATGGTTCGTGGTAGTGGAAGTGTTAGTGGTAGCAGTAGTTAGTAGTAGTAGTAGTAGCGTAGTTAGCTAGTAGTAGTAGTAGTAGTAGTAGTAGGTAGTAGTAGTAGTAGTAGTGGTAGTGGTAGTAGTAGTAGTTAGTAGCTAGTAGTTAGTAGAAGTAGTAAGTAGAGGGAGTGAGTTAGTAGCAGTAGTAGCAGCTAGAGTAGTAGTTAAAAACCATGAGCCCTTTCCTTTCTTTCTCTCTTTCTCTTAAAAATAAAAAACAAACCACACCAGAAATAGTAGTAGTAGTTAGTCGTAGTAGTAGTAGTAGTAGTAGTAGTAGTAGTAGTAGTAGTAGTAGTAGTAGTAGTAGTAGTAGTAGTCGTCGTAGTAGTAGTAGTAGTAGTAGTCGTAGTAGTAGTAGTAGCAGTAGTCGTAGTAGTAGTAGTCGTAGTAGTAGTAGTAGTAGTAGTAGCAGTCGTCGTCGTAGTAGTAGTCGTAGTAGAAGTAGTAGTAGTAGTGGATTGCTGTAGCAGTTGCAGTAGTACTAATAATGGGGGGAGCCCAACTTGTAGCAGCAGAAGTAGTAGTAGTTGCAGTAGCAGTAGCAGTAGTAGTCGTCGCCGTAGTAGTAGTAGTAGTAGTAGTAGTAGTAGTAGTAGTAGTAGTAGCAGTAGTCGTGGTAGTAGTAGCAGTAGTTGGAGTAGTGGCAGGAGTAGTCGTATTAATAGTAGCAGAGGAGCTGTTACCAACAGCAATATGAGGAGTACTGGTATTAGTACAAGCAGCAGTACACGTAGTAGTAGTAGTAGTAGTAGTAGTAGTAGTCGTCGTCGTCGTAGTAGTAGTAGTAGTGGTAGTAGTAGTAGTATCAGTAGTAGTAGTGGTAGTAGTAGTAGTAGTGGTAGTAGTAGTCGTAGTGGTAGTAGTAGTCGTAGTTGTAGTAGTAGTAGCAGCAGCAGTAGTAGTAGTAGTCGTAGTAGTAGTAGTAGTAGTAGTAGTCGTAGTGGTAGTAGTAGTAGTTCTACGACTATTACTACTAGTAGTAGTAGTAGTAGTAGTAGTAGTAGTAGTAGCAGCAGTAGTAGTAGTAGTGGTAGTCGTTAGTAGTAGTAGCAGTAGTAGTAGTAGTAGTAGTATTAGTAATCGTCGTCGTAGTAGTAGTCGTAGTAGTAGCAGTAGTAGTAGTAGTAGTAGTAGTAGTAGTAGTAGTAGTAGACGTACTAGTAATAATAGTAGTAGTGGTGGTCGTAGTAGTAGTAGTAGTAGTAGTAGTAGTAGTAGTAGTAGTAGTAGTAGCAGTAGTAGTAGTAGTAGTAGTCGTATTAGTAGTCGTGCGAGTAGTAGCAGTAGTAGTAGTAGCAGTAGTAGTAGTAGTAGTAGTAGTAGTCGTAGTCGTTGTCGTAGTAGGAGTAGTAGTAGTAGTAGTAGTAGTGGTAGTAGTAGTAGTAGTAGTAGTAGTAGTAGTAGTAGTAGTCGTCGTAGTAGTAGTAGTCGTAGTAGTAGTAGTAGTAGTAGTAGTAGTAGTAGTAGTCGTAGTAGTTGTAGCGGTAGCGGTAGCAGTAATAGTAGTAGTAGTAGTCGTAGTAGTAGTAGTAGTAGTAGTGGTCGTAGTAGTAGTTGTAGTAGTAGTAGTAGGATTAGGAGTAGGAGTAGCTGTGGGAGTAGGAGTAGGAGTAGGAGTAGGAGTAGGAGTAGGAGTAGTAGTAGTAGTAGTAGTAGTAGTAGCAGTAGTAGTAGTAGTAGTAGTAGTAGTAGTAGTAGTAGTAGTAGTAGTAGTAGTAGTAGTGGTAGTGGTAGTGGTAGTGGTAGTAGTAGTAGTAGTTATTGTTGTTGTGGCGGTCGTAGAAATGGTAACAGTAGCAGCACTAGTACTCGTACTAGTAGCTGACATGGACGTTGTGGCCGTAGTACTAATAAGACTAAACAGAATAACGCCACCATCGGCGGTCGCAGAAATGGTAGCAGTAGCGGTACTAGTACTCGGTGGACGTTGCGGTCGTAGTAATAATACGGCGAAACAAAACAACGCCACCGTGCCTCGGGCACGGAATGGGCGTGTCCTCAGGTCGTGTGCTTCATCCCCTGAGCCTCAGCCTTCAATCCTGAGGAGTCTTTATGGGGCCAGGATCCCTCGCTCTCAAATCTCCCGGGGCTTGCCGCGTGACCCCTGGGCCTCGGCGAGTCTTCCCGCGTGACCTGTTCGGACCCAAGAGAGACGCAAAACGGGCCGAGAGGGCCCCAAGACGGCCCAAGAGAGTCTGAAGTCGCCCAAAGATCGACGCAAAACGGCCAAGATCGTCCAAGACGGCCCAAGAAGCCTCCGAGACGGCCCAAGTAGCCCCAAACAGGACTCCCAGGAAGGGCCCAAGAGACCAAAATCGTCCATTTCTTATGGGGAAACGAGCATTTCTATCATATACGACTTGTCAGCCTTCACAGCGTTGAAGACGGCCCAAGAGCCCCCCAAGACCGCCCCAACACGGCCCAAGAGGCCCCCTAGAGGCGCCAAAGTCGGCCCAAGAGGACCCCAAGACTGCCCAAGAGGCCCCCCAAGACGGCCCAAGAGGGCCCCAAAACGGCCCTAAGAGGGGGAGCCCGAGCCGACAATCCGAGTTTCCGCCCCAAGACGGCCCCAGAAGGTTCCAAGAGGCGCCCAAGAGGCCCCAAGAATCCCCCAAGAGGCCCCCAAGGAGCCCCCAAGAGGCCCCAAGAGGCCCCCAAGAGAGGCCCCGAAGAGGCCCAAAAGAAGCCCCAAGTTCGATTTGAGGCATGCAGCTTCTAATCTGGAACCCCAGGCACCAAGGATCTCAGACCACGAGACCCTTACACACCTACAAGAGGCCACAGACAAAATAACCAAGGCACGGTGGCGGGATAGGCCGAAGGCCACTAGATACTAATGAAACTAAGATTACGAATAACAATGACACGAATGATTTTGAAAGTCAGTGTACTGGTGATTTTTTTTCAGAGGCACGCAGGAAACCCCGAGAGGCCCCCGAGAGGCCCCAAGAGGCCCCCAAGACGTGTGTGTGTGTGTGTGTGTGCGTGTGTGCGTGTATGCGTGTGTGCGTGTGTTTGGTTGTGCGTGTGTGCGAGTGTGCGTGTGTGCGTGTGTGCGTGTGTGCGTGTGTGCGTGTGTGCGCGTGCGCGTGTGTGCGGGTGTACGTGTGTGCGTGTGTGCGTGTGTGCGTGTGTGCGGGTGTGCGGGTGTGCGGGTGTGCGGGTGTGCGGGTGTGCGGGTGTGCGGGTGTGCGGGTGTGTGGGTGTGCGGGTGTGCGGGTGTGCGGGTGTGCGGGTGTGCGGGTGTGCGGGTGTGCGGGTGTGCGGGTGTGCGGGTGTGCGGGTGCGTGTGCGTGTGCGTGTGCGTGTGCGTGTGCGTGTGCGCGCGCGTGCGCGTGCGTGCGCGTGTGCGTGTTCGTGTGCGTGTGCGTGCGCGTGTGCGTGTGCGTGTGCGTGCGCGTGCGCGTGTGCGTGTGCGCGCGCGTGCGCGTGCGCGTGCGCGTGTACGTGTGCGCGCGTGCGTGTGTGCGTGCGTGCGTGTGTGTGTGTGGGTGTTTGTTTGTACGTGCGTTTGTGTGTGAATGTGTGTGTGGGTGAGAGAGGGAGTGCGTGTGTGTGTGTGTGTGTATGTCTGGTGGAAGTGTGTTTGCGCGTGTGCGTGTGAGTGTGGGCGAATGTGCGTGTATGTGTGTCGCTCCAGTTTTGAACGAAGCACTGCTTATATTTCCTGCGTGTGTGCAAGCGTTGCGTTTCGCGTCGTCGTTGGCCGCCAACCTTTTCTCACCTCGCCAACTCAACGCGTATTTGCAATTATCGCAGCTGCAAGAATGTTATTTCGACTGGGTGCGTCAACCAATCTTTCTGCCGAGACATAGTCCCCCCCTCCGCCTCTTAGAGGAAGAGTCACACCCTGTCGCCTCCTCCTTTTTCGCGCGCCCGAAGGAGCCCGAATGAGAATGAATGGAGGGCGGGGAGGGCACCCCCTGGTCCCCCTCCCTTTCGTGCGGTGGGGGGGGGTCCCCTCCCCCCCCCTTGCCAGGGCCCCCCCCCCTTTATTTTCACCCTGGCACGGGATAAGAGGGGGGGAACGGGACCCGCCCCTCTATTTCACCCGCCCCGAGATTTTCACCCTGTGCACCCCCGGCACGGATAGGGAAGGGGGGGGTCTACCTCCTCCCGCCCCCCCCTTTCGATTTCGGAGGGGGTCCTCCTTCTTATCTGCCCCCCCCATCGGCGTCATGGTCGTTGGGCATCGCTTCAACAAGTAATGTCAGGCCGGGGTCTCCCTCCTGGGCCCCTCTTGGGGGCACCTTGGGGCCCTCTTCGGCCTTTTTGGGCGTTTCGTAGTGGGGCCTCTTCGGCCGTCTGGCGCTCTCGTGCGTGTCGTTTGGGCCGTCCTGGAGCGACCTTGGGGGCGTCTGGGCCGTCTTGGAGCGTTGGAAGACAGAAACACCGCAGGGAAGCCAACAATGTTTGCGTACTGCGGCCTCATCGGGGCCTCTCTTGCAACAAGTGTTTGGCGTTTTCAGAGCCTGCTGGCCGCCTTGAGTCCGTGCTAGAGGCTTGGAATGTTCTTGAGTCGTCTCGGTGCGGTCTTGGGGCTCTCTTGGGACCCTCTGGCCCGCATTGGCGCTTGGAAGGTCCCGCAGGGCTCTTGGGATTCTGTTGTAGGGGCTGTCTTCTAGCGGCTCGCCAGTAGCGTGTTCTTTGGCCCCTCTTGGGGTCTTGTTGGGGTCCGCTTGGGCCTCTTTTGGGGGCCGTTTTGGTCTTGGGCCGCTTTGGAAGTTCTTGCGTGAGACACGGAGAGGATGCTTTGACCAGCGAAACCTTACGGATCCACCTGATTTGGGCCCTTTGGGTCGGCCTCCACGGCATCCAAGACGGCCCGAGAGGTGGCCGAGCCCCGAGAGAGTTCTAGCTGGATAAGGCGGCTCAGCAATGGTCAGAATGGTCCTAAGATTGTCCGCGTCATTCCTTCCGCCACCATTTTGGCTCAACATTGTTTGGCTCCAGTTGGGCCTTCGCAGTCTAAAGAACACCTGCACACCCCGTGTACATACTACAACTTCTGATCGGCTCACCTGTCTCGCAGATGGCCCGTCTCTTGTTGATTGCCAGCCTCGTCGGGGCACGCGGCGCCGCGGGTCGGGGTGTGGCCCCCGCCGAGTCCAGCATGATGCAGTTCGGAGCAGCGGTGGACAGGGGCAACGCCTCGCAGCAGACACCGACACGTGCTTCAGCAACAATGGCCAGGTTCGGATTACGGCCCGTTTCGCAGATTGCGACCCCAGTTGCCAGCCGATGGGGCGTATGTATTTCACAAGGTGCCACACTGGCCATAAAGGAGCAGACCCAGGCAAGGTTCGACAATTGTGGTGATCGACTAGGAATGCCACGTTCTGTTTTGGATGTGTGGGGTAATGAGTGGTGAGCATTGGTACATTGGGTGAGGGTTGGGTGGCGAATATTGGAATTACAGACAGAGACTTTGTGTGGGGTGTCGATTCAGGGCATCGCGCTGGACTACATCCTCTTCGTGGACCTGGGCGCCCTCTTCCAGCGCTGGTCCTTGCACTTCGCGTGCTGTAGCCTCCGCTTCTGCCCCTGGGTGTGGCCGCGATGCCGCCCCGCGGCCAATGTCAGAACGATGGAGCTCTGGCTGGCCGCCCCGTCCGCTCGGCGATGCACCTCGCCGCGTAAACACCATCCGCTCCCACCCTTTTTCCTTCCAAGGCCGCCCGCCCGTTCCTTTCCACCCCCTCTTGCTACTGGACAATGAGCGCCTGCCGTTTCCCGGCGCGCTCGAGCGCGCGTGCGGCTTGCCTCTGCCGCACCGCGATGTAAAAAAGTGGGCGCTGTCGTTCGGGTGTTCAGGCAACCCCAACGCCAGCTCCGACGGCAGTTCCGACGGCGACGGCGACCACACGAATCCTGGCCACGTCTGCGCGTCCAGGATCCAATTTTTCGCCTTGGTTCTCTCGCGGGTGCGGAGGAAACGGCCCTACAGTTTGCAATAACAACGACTTGTACAGTCATTTTGTATTCTCGCTGCCCGCCACAGAGCGATGTGGTAACAGGTTGTGGGCCAGTGTTGGTTGCACTAGAGCACGGGACACCATGGGGTGTTTCGCATGCGCTTCATTTTTTACCATTCCCCGTATGGCATCACATCGGCGTTATTCTCCACATCGGCGTCCTTCGGCGGTCCGTGGAGCCGGCGAAAGCTGCGTGACGGCCTCTCTTGCTCAAGGGCCGCGATCCTGGGCACGACGTGGAATCATGTCACGTCCCGGTCCAGTCGTTCGCAGTGGATGTTCCACTTGCATGGCGACGCGTGAAGTTGACAACCCTGGAAACTGACCGCGCAAGAAACCTCCGCAACCAGAGGTTCTGGACGTTTTTTTAAGTTTTGTTGTTTGTCGGTTTTTCCTGCGTTGCGGCTGTCGTTGGCGAGTGTTTCTGGTTTGACGCAGCGTTTTTCCGAAAGGTTGCAGCCTGCCCATTTGCAGCGCTTTTCCCGCGGAGATTTCCTTCAACGTGCCTTCGCGAGGCCGAGTGGCGATCGCGCGCGGCGGCGCCCGTGTGCCACAACCCACGCGCGCGCTGACCAGGGGGGGTCGCAGTAGTAAAAACGTGGTCGCTGCGGCATTGCAGCGCCATGCTCAAGGCGGCCCGTAACGCAAGTTTCGCTTGTTAGCCGCACGTTTCTTGCATGGGCGGATTGCCCCCGCGCAGCGATGCTTCGCGCGCCGTGATTGTGCCGATTTTGGGCGACGATGCGCTCGTTCATGCGGGCAGAGCGCCTCCGCGTGGCGAGGCCTCCTGTAGCGTCTAGCATGCCGCCAAGTTTGCCCCTTCTGGGCTCGCGGGCCCCCCGCCCCCCTTCATTTCTAGGCGGCGCGCCAAAAAATGCAATGTCGTTCTTTTTGTTCAGCGATTGCGCTTGCCGCGTTCTTTTGGGCGGTGATCGTTTGTGTTTCGCCTCTCGCCCGCCTCTTCCCTCGGCCCTATCCCTCTTCTTTTTTTGCGCGGATTTCCCCTGACCTCCTGTGTTGGGTATTCGTTTTGAATAGAGCAGTGTGTTCACCCCGCCCTTCCTTCCCCCCCCCCCCCCCCCCCCCCTCCCCCAGCTGCTCCTGGCACGAACCCTCCCACCATGCAGCATCCATGAGAATACCGCACACCCTTCCATTACACATTCTTTGTGGCCTCGCCGCATGCGATCTCGGGGCAGGAGCGCCACGGGACGCACTCGCCCCACGTGGGCCCATGGGTTCTTTTCTCGGATTAGCACTTTACAACCCTCTATCTCTGGTGGAAGTGGACCGACCTTCTCAGATATGGAGAGAAATTCACGCATATATAATCGGCTTGGCTGGCGCTCGGATCCGAGCACCCCAAACCTATCCCGTTCAAGAGTGGCAGCTCGAAGGTGGAGGTTTCGGACTATCTGCAGGCTGGGCAGCGGCTCCTTTTTCGAATCGATCGGCAGGTTGCATGTTGATGATGACGCAGAGGATGCGCAGGGGGGGTCGGACGATCACGACACCGCCATCGTCAGCGCAGGGCCGTGGCCTCGCCGTGCGGATCGTTCGCGGCTCCCTCGATTTGGCTATAGTGCTGTTGTACCTCCCCCCGCTGAAGGACGACAATGCCCGCGAGAGACGGGCGCTGGAAAAGGGGTCAAGAGAACTGGCGCACTGGGCGATGCAACAGATCAAGGCGGCGCCAGCCAGATCGACCCCGATCGCGATGGGCGATTTGAACACGGGCTTAGGCCCAAGGAATTGCTCGCTGCTGTCCCCCCCGCAATTTGAGATTGAGGCGAGGGCTCCCTGGGCAAAATCGGCAGCTATAACTTGGGCAACCACAGCGTCATTGGCGACCAGATCTGGGAAGACCTGATTCTACCCCATGGTGTGATGAATGTTGGCAGCTTCTATGACAAAGCTGGACCTACGTATTATCACTTTGATGGATCGACGAGCACAGTTGACCACATTCTGATGTCATTAACGATTCATGATCATATTAAACGAAGTTTTATACCATGGAGTTCGGCTCGGCGTTCACAGTTGATACCGAGCGCATTGCCGAGAGACCACGTTCCCATCATCGTGGAGTTCACGGCCTATCAGCACCGTAGCCAGGCCCCCGACTTCTTCCGCTGGGATCGTGACAAGCTGGCGGCGGCCTTGCAGGAAGGTACCAACCGTCTGGAGTTCCAGGAAGATTTGGAGATCGCGTTTACCCAGTGTGCGGAGCTGGCGCAGTACGGCGCTGGTGGGGACATCGACAAATATTGGCAGACTTGGGTCACCCTAGTGAGGTAGTGTGCGCGGCGTTTTTTCGGCCAAACTCGCCGCACCGAACGCCCTGAGGCTGTCCGTCTTCGCGAGCGACGTCGCGAGCTGGTACGACTCCGAGCTGCAGCTCGAGAACGGCTGGGGGATCAGGGCGAGGAGTGCGCAGGCGTTCTGAGGCACCAACCGATTCTCTTTCCTGAGTACCAGGAGCTGCAGGATATCCGCACCACCCTTTGTCAATTGCGACGACGGGAACTCGCGGAGCGACGGCGGCAACTCGAACGCGACATTCACGAGGCCCACCGCCGCCGGCGCCTTGCGGAGGTGCATCGTCTTTTTTTCCTGCTGGCAGCTCGTTGCGGGGGGGCCCGCGAGAGGAAGCACCGCGTCCCTACACCCCAGTCGTCAATGGAGGAGTGGAGGAAATATCTTGCGGGGTCGCCGCACGAGGGAGGCATGTGCGCCCAGGAGGTCGATTACGCGAACGAGCTCGAGACTAGGCCAGAGTTTTTCGACGCGTCCGAGATGCATTCCGAAACCTATGAGGAGCATCGGTTTTGGGCCGAGAGAGATCTTCGAGCCACCATCAGGTTCCTAAAACAGCGCCCAAAAAGACGTGCTGCCCCTGCCTGGAGTGCGCCGACAGAAGTCTTCTTGATGGCAGCTGAATCTAGCTACGTTTCACGGGCGGATGAGCCCCGATTAGGACTGGGAGCTGAACGAGTAGGTGAGTTACCCCCATCGCAGGCGCACGCCCACTTGGAGCACCTACACTGGTGGATTCGAGTCTTGAAGCGCGTGCCGAAGCTGGCCCACCTCCCCTGGGGATGCCCGATATCGAAGCCGAATGGGAAGCACGGTCCTGGGGGGAAACGACTTATACACGTATTTTGTCCCTACTGTAAGGGCTTCTTTGGAGCCGCCATACGTCGAGGTATGCAGTCACGAACCCAGGACTGGCCCGCCAATTTCCATGGTTTTCTGCCCGCACGGCGTCGTGAAGACGCTCTCGCTGTTCAGCTCTGTGTAGGACATCGACTACGGAAGCGAAAGCAAGCCCATCTTAATAACCTACACGATATGTCAAACGCTTTTGCTTCCACTACACCCGAAGCTCGTCGGCGAGCGATTCGGGATCTCGTCCTTCCCCGAAATCAAGAGCTTTTTGAACGCCGAGCGGAGCACGCCGCTATCTTCTTGGGGTTTGTCGACGGGGGGGGCGAGCCATGGAGGGATACACGGAATCTAGTCAGTCGACACAGATGTGGAGGGTTGATGGGATCTAGCGAAGAGCCCGTGATCTTTGCCAAGATCATGCAACGATCTTTTCACGCCTGGCGCTCGACACGACCAGCGGAGCTGGCCATTACACTGCAGTGTGGTATCTTCCCCCGCCAGATTGACGGCGGCACGAGTGTCTTTGCTGATGACATCTTTGATAAATTTCTTGTGCGCAGTGGCGAGGCTGGCGATGCCCATCTTCTCACGCAGCAGAGCGATGCGACCCTGGACGAGGAGTTGCATCAGGTAGGCCTTCTCCAGAATAAGGGGAAGCGCGAAATTGCGCCCAGCTTCCATCGGTCCCATGAGACTAAGAGGTTTGAGGAGCTCACACAGGAAGGGAAGGTTTTACCTCGGGCGCGATATCTTGGAGGTAGATATGCTTGGAACCTTGCGACGACGGAGGAGCTACAGTTTAGATGTTCTGCTATGAGAGTGGGTTGGGCTAAAATTGGAAGTCTGTGGGGTAGCCGTATTTCAAGCAAGCTGAAGCTGCTGGCATTCCATGGACACGTTATTGAAGCGGGCTTATCGGCGAACGAGGCCTACGTATTCTCGGGAACAATGACCAACCATATGGACACTATCGTAGCTAAGTGCCTAAGAGCCTTGGAGAGGGGTAAGGCCACGGACTGGAGTGGCAGCCATCCCCAGAGCCTCCCTCACGCAGTTCTTCGACGTAGGTGGAAGGTGGTTCCTACTAGGTGCGCGCAAGCCGCTAGACGCTTCGCCTGGATCCAGAAGATGGCCCGAGACCCCAAGTCCCACGCCCAGGTGATCGCCGCTCTTTGGGGAACCCTCAATGATGGACCTCCCGCGCTGGACCCACAAGGACGCCTCGCGCGAGATGCCCCGCCCCTGGCGCACCAAGTAGAAACCGACTTGTGGCTGCACGCGGGCATCAGTGGCACTGAGGATTTTTTCGAGCGATGGAGTTAGCACGGCTACTCGTGCATCGCATTATTCGACGACGACGGG